AAAGATGATGCTGAAAAGGACTCCAAATACCCAAGTTTTTATAGCAATTGTTACTAAGTGTTAGAAGTTTCCCATAAAATTATTAATATACTAGAATTCAAGTTTAAAAGAGCAATTCACTTATAAAATGAATATTTGTTGTACTGTACCACAAACTTGGGTAGGAGTGGATGTGTTACAGTTTTCAAATGAAACTTAAAGGAGTGGGACCTGGGAACCAAGCTGCCCTAAACTTCGCTGAAAACCCTCACCTCAGTGCTTTGAAGAAACAGCTTTTTATTACATGGTTGTATTTTACCTCAAAATTGTAGAATTTTAGGAGGTTGGGTGCCTGACTTAAGACCTACCACAAATGAAACTGACCTTATCATAACCTTTAAAAATCTAAACAACTCAACAGTCTATGTGAGAAACYGCCACAACTATTTTGGCAACACTTACCAGTCTAAAAGTCAGCCTTTTAGGACTGACCTAGCATGAAGAGTGAACCACATGCCAAGCCATAATTCTCCTCCTCCTTCCAAAACTGCAATTGTCCTTTTTTTTTTATTTTTAAAGCACAACCCTGTGTCTTAAGTCCAATAGTGAATGTTAACAAAGCCTTGACCTGCAGAGACCTAATTTCCACAGAGAAAGGAGAAAAACACTAAAGGAGAAAAACTTTTCTATAAATGCCAGATTCTGTAAGCTGAGAAGTTCATCACTGCAATACCTAGAGTAGTGTGGGAAGTCCCAGGAATGGAATCCAGAACTCCTTATTAGAGGGTGAGGTTCTGCCTCCAGAGTCAGGTAGCAGAACGTGGCGACAGCACAATTTGAAAGGTTTTATTTGGGAATGAAAAATCCCATCCTTCAGCACTTTTGTTATACCTTGATCTGTGGTACTGGATCCTCTGCTAAGCTAGGTCCTTGTCTGTTTCCCAAAAGCTAAGAGGACTCTCTAATTTATGTCATAATTCCAGAAKGAACTGCAGTGGCATCTGTCTCCTTTTGTTTTGGAACTGCACAGAAAAAGGGAGAGATCCCAAATGCTGCATGAAAAGAAAATAATTGAGTGGTTTTTTTCCCCCAACAGAGCACACCTATCATCAGAAGCTCAGTTAAATGAAAAGGGACACATTTTTCTCCTCTTGCCCTAGCTTACTACATTATTTTGCTCACGTTCCATCCTCATGGCTGGTGCAGGAAAGATGATACTCCAGCAGACAGAACTCAGGGAGCAGAAAAGATATTGAAACTTGAATCCAAATGTGGATTCATCAGGGAAATGGATGCTTTTTCTTCGCCTTCTGTTTTAGTCCACATATGATCCGATGAGGTTCATCTTTCAGCTTTCCACTCTGTCTCCCCTCAGCTGGAGGCTGCAGCTCCCGCTTTCCTGCTCTGCGCTGAGACCATTGTGTGATGAAGGAGGAGGAGGAGGAGGTTCTGCTGCCTGCATTTGCTTCTGTGAGGACAGAGATTATAGCAGAGAGAGGTTGCAGTTAGGTGGTGCGTAACTCTGCTGATACAAGCTGGAATGGTTCACCTTGGGCAATTTGCACGTACAGCACCAGGCGCACAGGAAGTCTCCTTTGAAAGTGATTAGTCACTGGATAGGACTTACCATGATAACAGTTTTGAACACAGTCATAAAAATTGGCTTTGCATCCTCTTTTAAGTACCTTGAGTGCTATTTTACATCTGGATCTAGAAAAGCAGGAGCAAGAGAATTTCCTGCAGAGATAATGTTCATCTCACATCCTCAGTGTTTGGTTTTGACAACAGAAAGCTTTACTTTTTTGTAGTCTTTGAAGATCCAAAGTCTCTTGATGCTTTTGTGTCTGAATTCTTGCAACCACTGCTGTTAAATGAAAGGCTTGAAATTTGAGGAAATTTAACCTCRAAAAATTTTCACTATTATTTTTGTCTTTAAACTGATATCACACCCTCATAACTATAGCAAAGTAATTAAAACTTAACTTCTTTTTYTCAAGAAATAGTAGAGACTACCTAATGTGAATTACAGGTAACAGAGAAAACGTAAGTAAGGGCCAGGAGTTAACACCTCATTCATTAAAATATTTTAAATGCTTGGAATTAAATGCAGAGAAGTCTCCTTTTCACCATAATTATGTGAAAGACCAGAATAAAACAGAGTTAAATGAGGCAAATATATAAATAAGAGAACCTACAGTTTGTGGTAGCTTTACTTACTATCTTAATTATATATTTCCTTCGAATGTTTCTTTTTTCCCTCCCCGGGACAGATGGAATAAATTAATCTTAAATGCAGCATAAAATCTATTCCAGATCCCCTTATATGCCAGTGTTTAAACAAAACTAACTAGAATAATAAAAGTCAGAAATGGGAAAGATCTATTAGCTGACCACCTAAAATTTTATATACAGAAATGTATCAATTTAACTAAACCTATTTCTAAACATTTAAGGAGGTTTGGTTACATTTATAATCATTTCAACAGTGGCTAGAGTCAGTTTATTTCACTTTGAAACCATCCTTAGGAGTAAATAAAAGTGACCTGCTTTTAAGCAGAGTTGCACTAGCTAAATAAATGCATGTGTGTAGTTTAAGAATCAGAGGCAAGCAGGTCTGTCCAGCCCTGGTGGCAGAGACTACCAATACCTCTTGTACAAGGCTCAGGCTGCCCATGGCCATTTCAGGGATGGAGACAGAGGCCCCAGCTAGAAATCAAGATATACCAAATTATTGTCTCAGTTTTGCCTCTCTAGCCTTGGTGGAATCTCTTAAAAACACACTATATCTGAAAATAATAATGCTTCCTACCTGAACATGGTGATTCAAATTTTAGCAGGTTGGGAACTAGTCAAGCACAGCATTTTGGTCCCAGTCCTAAAAGAAATTGTATGAATTTAATTTTGTGAGTAAATTGTTTTGGATGGCAGTTTACCAGTTACAAAGCATAGAAGAGGTTGTTGCCATATGTCCATATGTTCTGAATTACTATGTAGGTGCCTGTACAGGACTGTTCTGTGTGAGCCCCATTTTTAACATTTGTCCAAACTAGCTTTTAACAACTTGCT